TGATTCCAACTACATTACTTGCTAACTAGCGATTCATTAACATGAAGTAAAAACAATTTTTAGCATACATGCTACATATAGGTAAAGACAGATACATGCTACATATACGTAAAGACAGATAAATTGATTATCACGATTTGTATTTGAGTATGCATGAAATTTCTACACTACATGATTTCTGTTACATCGGAAAGAGGTAATTTCAATAAAGTCATATCAATTCGAACAAATTCACGTATCTCTCGAACCACAATAATATACGAAACAAATGCATGCAATCTCTAAGCTTTCGAACTCGCGCACATTTGAAGTATGATTTTGAATTGAATGAATTCAACAAATAATTACAAACTTACATCAATGGGCATATTGTATGTTATTGAGACAATACGTTTATGTCTTTTTGAGACTTGCTCTTTCTATGTAGTCGCTGGTTCGGGGTCTCTCAAATTCTTCCAGACCCCCGTCTTTTGGACAATTTATTTATGGAGGAAAATACTTGTTAATTTTCTCGGACTTCAGTTTTGGCAGAAAAACTTGGATGCCGACTTTCGTAAGACAAATTACTTAAAACATTGACTTTTATTTTCGTTCAGCTTATCCAATCGCGGATAATTTTCTCTAACCGCCAAAAATTAAACCAGATAGATTAACAATTGCAAGCAACCATTTTATTGTGATTATAGCACATCTACACGTCTACAAAATACTGCACCATTACCATCTGATATCAATATCGATAATGGTGTGGAAGTGAAAAGACCAAAGGTCAAGGTCAACGTTACAGTCATGAGTTCCTAATTTTGCAGGAAAATCAGCAATTTTAATTTAAAATACGGGTTGATAAAAGAGTTAAGTGCGTAAAATATAGTATCACCTATATCTGGATAATAGAGAAACCAACTGCAAACAGTAGATCAATGTCTTCACTAGAAATCATTAGTATACCGTGGTATAATGGGTATGTAGATTGGTGTCTTCACTAGAAATCATTAGTATACCGTGGTATAATGGGTATGCAGATCGGTGTCTTCACTAGAAATTATTAGCAAATTGCGATAAGATATCTATGTAAGTTAGTGTCTTCACTAGAACTCATTAGAATAAATTGGTATAATTGTTATGTAGATCGGTGTCTTGACTAGACATCATTAGAAATCTGCGGTATAATGTTTATGCAGATCAGTGTCTTCACTATAAATCATTAGTAAACCGTGGTAGAATATGTATGTGGATTAGTATCTTCACTAGAAAATCATAAGTAAACCGCGGTATAATGTGTATGCAGATTTGTGTCTTCACTAGAAATCATTAGTATACCTTGGTATAATGTGTATGTAGATTTGTGATCTTCACTAGAAATAATCAGTATCCCTTGGTATAATGTGTATGCAGACCAGACTTCACTAGAAATCCTTAGTATACCTTGGTATAAAGGGTATGAAGATCAGTATCTTCGCTAGAAATCATTAGTAAACCGCGGTATAATGGGTATGTTGATCAGCATCTTCACTACAAATTATTAGTAAAATAAATAGTGAAGATCATAATCTGTAGACTATTATGCAATGGTAGAACATTGTTATGTGCACATATTCATGTTTTGCACCTGCCATTAGAGTACTTGCACTTAAAGATATGCTTATTCAGTAAATGGTACGCGTATTCAGTAGCAGATGCAACTAGAATGCGCTCAATATCGCTACCCTTGGCGTTGTTAGAGATAAGACCTGAAACGGTTTCGTAACATGTAATTGAGCGTTTTGATTTCTCATTTGCTGTCAATTTTAAAAGTAAATTGCTCAACAGATGTATTTAGCATGGATAAAATAATGTGTCCGTTAGATGTAATGGAATCTCATGCTCAAAATCTCTTGAGGCATAGTCATTACTAAAGTACTATCTGGTGGAGCGCCGGACTAGTACATAAGGGTCATGGGTTCAATAACTTCTGTCTAATACGGGGCGGATGCCCACTTACGTCCTTTCAAAAATCATCTACCTCCAATTTCTTCGGCATGATAATAGTATCCTTAAATGTTCAGGTAAACAAGCGTAAAGATGTCAACTTCATGTTCACAGTTGCCTTTTATATATTAACTTGAAGACAGACTTAACTTACAACAAATCAAAACAAGATTCACTGGTAGACATTTTCTAACGAAGCACGTGAACCATTTATTATAGTCTTTATGTTAAATGAGATGTTGCCCACATTTAAATAAAAAGCAAGTTGTTTTCTTGAAAACATAAATGTTTAAGAAGAAGCATTACAAAAATATTACTCAAAAGGTATCCCGTCTAACATCTAAACAAGTTAATTCTTTGAGGTTGCTGTACAAAATAAGGCGTGGATCGCTGCTGTGTTTAAACAATGTTTATCATCTATGTAAGGTTGTATGAAAAGATTCGTAAAACTTGTTTGATAAGCAAATCGTTCCGCGTGAAATTAACAAGGCAGGTGGCTGTAAAAATTGCTTTGGACTGAACAGCATTGTGACTAACTCAAATAAAGTCTAAGATCGAATCACGGATATGTTTAAGTTTTTTATGTGGGAACAGGAAACAGTGAAAGATCTACCAAACACAAGATAACCTTTTTGATTTTCTTTCCGTGAATGCTTCCTGTTATCCTGCGCTATCTCAGTTGCTCATGGTACCTTTGACCCTTTTGTGACCAATGGAGGATCATGCCTTCCTTAAAATTTTTAATGGTTGAGTGAAAGTACTTTTAAATGAAGTTTTTAAGGTGAACTTAAAACATGCATATTAGTTCGTATTAGAAACCTTGCACCTGAAAGTAAACGTGTTCCGGTTTTTCTTCTTGTTCTTAAAATTGCATTAGTATTTTTTAAAATTTATTTATAAAGATTTTCATTTTAAAAAGTAACACAAAAGTATGAGGTATATGGAATAACAGTCATTATTTTGATTTTTATCATTTGGAAATATCTTAATTAGGGAACTCTGTCAAGTATTATGGCAAAAAGTTATTAACAAGTTTTTGCGTCCAATATATCATTTGTTGCATAGATTTAGAGGAAATCTTGAAAGTATCATCAACAAACCCCATTCTGAACTAACCATGTTGGGAACAATATGACGCAACACATACTGAAAGAGAAAATATTTTTGTCACATCAGTCCCTATTCAGAAAGGATTTATGCAAATTAGATAAAGCCAAACTATGAATCAATTGCCCATAAATGCAATACTTAATTTGTCCTAACTTTGTTTTCTTCCAAAGATAACAAAATCTCAGCATTATATATAAAAAGAATGCTTCTCTTTGCACTTACTTTCCACGAGAAAAGCCATGCTTATGAATAAGATACTAGTGGGAACCACTCCGGTGGCCTAAGCAGTTAGAGCATCCGCCTCGGATACCGGAGGTCGCAGGTTCGAACCAAGGCCGAGTCATGCCAAATACATAAGATTGGTACTAGCAGCTGCTTTGCTTGGAGCTCAGTATTAAGAAAAAAGTTCTTGTTAGGACTGGTCGGCCAGGTGTCAGGATAATATCTGTGACATGATGCCCCATTGCTGGGCATCATTATAAGCTGCCACTCTGCAGACATAGTAACAGTACAATGTGTTTTAAACAGAATGCACAGTTATGCTTCATTAACTTTCTTGACACTAACTAGTGAAAGCAAATGCTGCTTATGCTGCCCGAATCTTTGATTCCAGTGTGACGATGTTTGATATTTAGCAGACTTGATGGGAATCATTCAAGATGTTTCTTTCACGCTAATTATGTGTCAGTCATTGGTCATAAACCCTTTGTCAGTATAGTTGATTCAACCTGTCCTATACCCTCCATACAGTATAGGTCCCGTCTTGTATCATAATCCGGTAACTTAAACGTAAAACTGTCGCTATCATCAATCGCACAAAATTGTTGTGCACTTGTCACTTGCATCTCATAAAACCGCTTCTAAATTCGCCACAGCGGAATATTCCACAAGTATGAATTTGTACCTAATGTAAACCCATAATCGATTTTCAAAAGGGAAATGTTCAATAACTTATCATATTTTGAGAAGAAAACAAACTACCGCAGAAAGGTCAATAGATTCTGTATTTGATCGTTATTGAGAGGCATCTATAAAAGGTTCTAATCATCGGAATACATTTTCTATGGAAAACAATGAGACCCAAAAGTAACTTGTTTCCTAGTTATTTTACTCCTTGATTAGAAGTAGCTGTGAAGGAAATTCAATTACTGGAGAATTTCTTTTCATGACATTTTTTGTTGCTATTTATTTCAATCTGTTCTCGCTACTTCGTGTGAAGTAAGTGTCTGACAATGAACTATTAAAATCCTATGAAACCTAGTTCAGTCTTGACATTTGTATTTGAGCAAATTGGATATTTGATACACAAAGAAATATGCGCGGCTTTTCCATTATGTTATCTTATCTGCAGGTGTCCAGAGATTTGTTGGTCAAAATATCATTCATTTACAAAAGGTACGAATCCAGAAATAAGCTTTATTACTATATTTGGAGGGGGGGTAGCTCAAACAAAATGTAGGCGAAGAATCTCTGTTTTAACTCTCTAACTGATCCGCCCTACTACCCACTCCTATCCCTGTATACGTTTGTGTTCACTGACGCTGCTATTCGGTACATAATGAAAACCATTAATTGGAGGTTTATTTATAATTGGTATCCAAAATCAGCACATTCAACATTCAGTGCGCTAAGTCTCTTGAAATATTCATATCTGTACTTACTTTAAAAGCCTCTAATGTTCCATATGATTAAATAAATGGGATTGTGTGTGTGTGTGTGTGTGTGTGTGTGTGTGTGTGTGTGTGTGTGATTTCGATTTTTTAACGTAGCTTAAACAATTTCTAAGTAGCCATGATATTTGCAGTGTGGCAGTTTTTAATGGTGTCTAGCACTCTAACATGTAGCATCATGTCCCACTCAGTCACAATATCCTGATACCAGGCCGACCAGTCCTAACACTAGCCTCTTAATGATGAGAGGTATGACTCGGCCAGAATTCGAACTCGGGACCTCCAGCATCCGAGGTGGACACTCTAACCACTTAGGCCACCGGAGCGGTTAGAAATTGTATAGGGGATAGTAATCTGTGCATAACGAGCAAGAGCAAAGCAGGTACCCGTGCACTGAATATAGTGAAATTTGGTGTGTCGAATTTTATTTAAGATAAATATTGTAATGGTGCAAATTTTTGTTTTGAGTTAATTTTGCAGTACATTCTGTCGTGGTCAGAGTGATGTGCAATATTAAGTTTAAAACAAACCAGAGCAAGCATTTTAGGAACTCTCCGGTTATATGAAACAAGTGTCATAAAAATAATTTCCAGAATAGTTATTAACAAAAGCGGACTAGAGAGAGTTATTATGACTTCGATGGTAGTATCAAACGTTTTTGGCGGTTGGAGAAAGTAATCCGAAAAGGCTTAACTAAACTGGGGAGGGGACTGACTTCACAGTTTTAACAAATTCCTCTCGAGAAATCAGATGGTCTCTGAGGCAAGCCATAATTTAGCTCTGGAAAGTATGCAATATGTCACGTTTGATTATGCACATAACGTTAGTCAGAAAGTAACGAAAACTGAGAGAAATTCAGCTGCATCGTAAAAGTGATTTTCAGTAAAGCACAAGATTAATTTCAATTGCATAGAAAATATTCATTGATGTAAGTTTGTAATTATTCGATGAATTTGCTCGTTTTAAATTCATGCTAAACTTTTCCTTGAGTTCTGAAAATATTCGTAAATGTATCCGTCTTGAATGTAATTTAAATCATGTAGCATATGAATTTCACGCATTTCTCTGATACGAATTGTGAGAATTAATTTATCTGTCTTAAGTGTTTTGTATCATGTATACTGAGCATTGCTTTTTCAATGCCTATGTCAATGAATCGCTTGTTAGCCAATACACTAAGGACATTGATTTAAGTCCATTAATTCATTTGTGTAATTAGATACAAAAGTTTGGTCAGATTGATGTGTATCATATAGCTTCCTACGGAGAATTCTTTGAGGCCGAATAATGCTAGTTTTCAACTTACGGCCATACACCTTCCAAGTCTTGCGTACGATTCCTGCCATGGAAACGTTTCGACAAGAGGCACAAACAAAGACGTAGAACTCAAGCTCAAGTCACAGAATTCATGGCTCCAAGAAAACTTAGGCTATGGAAAATATGGCTTTATTGAAAAAAAAGCTATAGAAATCATGGCTCTTTGAAAACTAACGATTTGAAAATCGTCTCCATGAAAGCTGACATATTTGAGAATTGCAGAAAAACACAAGCCAGATCCGGCAGTTATTATTATTAGTATTGGAAATATTTGGGCCCTGAGCTTGAGATATTGTCTCAGTCTTAGATAAGAAAGCCCTGCAAGACATTGAGTTTTTCTTTGCAAGCCCCGTAACATATCCAGCTTTTCGGCGAACAAAAAAGAAACACGTGAGCAGTCAATACAAATTTATTATGGCGTAATATCATATCCCAGAAGCTATTAGATCTTGTCCCAGCATTATTCAAGAAGAAAACAATTTAATTACAGTAGTCATTAACAATTGTTGGTGCATATTTGTATCAAACGTTATCAAATTCTGTGATTTTATTATCATCTCTTATTCCATGTATTTGCATCGACTTCTAAATGTACCTGTCCTGCAAAGATACACTGACATGCAGTGACATCATCCTCTGAGTAACGGCACGTAAGTACAACACAGTTATATGATATAAGCAGCTGTGGTGTTAGAGCCGTGCGGATCCGGTTCGAAATGATGACAATGACTCCCAAAATCTAATTTCTATGTCACTGAAGAAATTTTGTGAAATATTCATATATAATAAAACAGGTTTGTTTTCAAAGTAAATTTTATTTTTAATCTGCTTTAAGCATAATCCATTTTAAACACACTCAGATGTTTTGCAGATCATACCACCACCTAGAGTGCGAGCTGAGTGCATATCATCTTTCGCACATAGCAAACGACGCTACTGATACAGGGAATGTGTGTTCGTTGCATTTTATAAATCACTATCCAGAATACAAAAAGCGAGTCAGAACGACCATACCTGTCTGAGCAGCAATTGTAAAGAGGCAGTGTCAGCGGCAAGGTCTTGTCTTAAAGAGGGAAATATACCTACCGTTGATACTCGCTTATAAGGCGAAATCTTCAAAGTGTTTGGCCATTAAATGGAATTAATTACAGGTAGTTTATAAATTGGTATTATATTGCGAAATGGGCACCATTGATGTACACTTAACAAACATTAAATTGTATTTGATGAATAAGTTTGATAAATGCCTAGAAAATAATACAAATCCAGTTTGCCTGGTATTTTTGTTACACGTATTAGATAAAAGATTTATGTATAATGTCGCTAATAAATAAATTACATGTTTTAAAGATTGTTCAATTTTCGAGCTGATCTAGATAAAGTTGAAGATTGTAATCTACTGACAATAGCATACCAACATGTAGAACGAACACAATTGAATCTATAAACATTTGTTTTCTGTACCTGATGATCAGCTTGGCGAAAAACTAGGTATCATACCTCAACATGAACAAGTTTATGTTGCAGCGCAATCGAGACATAATGTGAAATATCATTGTGATAAATTGGCGGCGTTCAAAACACACACCAAACTTTCCACTACGATTCGCTGCTATGAAATGACCTCCCGCGGTGTAATTTACCCAGTGTGGATAGATAGAAAGAAGAATGCAGATCTCTGAACAAGTATATTAAAGACACCAAACACAACGAGCCCCCTTTCAATGAACAAATATAAAATTTAATCAGTTTCACAACAAAATTTAAAAAGAAAGAAATCAATTACTTGATTACAAAAGAAGGAAAAATGTACTAACATGTACTCAAATAAAAAAAAAACAATACAAATTTCTTTTACTGCTACGATTACTGGTCAGTGGCAGAATTCAATTCTTCATTGTCTACGAGATGTGACTTTTGAGTGCAACGATGAGAGACATCATCACCTAATTTATCCGGACATCGAGTCTTCCGTTCGTCCCTGCTCTGCCAACCTTTGTCTAGTTGTATGGACCTGGATCCTTGCCAGTCGAACCTCGATTTGACGGTCGTCCCTGGACCTAGACTTCGGCTCAGAATTCGCTCTGGTTCTTGGAATTTTGTATAGGAATTTTTAGGGAATACCAGGAGGGTTCCAGAATCTCGGGAAAGTTTAAGAAAGCTGTTTTCTTTTTGCCGTTTCTTAACTTGTTTCCAACGAACCTTAAATGTAGAGTTTGTCTACATTCTGGGACAACTCTCACGCTTTATTGCAGTCACGAGGTAACGTCTTTCGTGTTTTCCGGAGTCGACCTCCTACTTATCAGAAGAAAGATTGAAGACTGAAGAATTTCTCCAAAGCAAAACATTTAATTCCTTACAAAGTTTCGCCCATAAATTACTATTACCCAATCAGACTCGACTGTTTCCTAAACCTTCCACGTAAAATGTTTATTGTCAAGACAGTAAATCATGCCGTAATTAACGTTTCTTTGAACAATCACTTATTGCCAAGCTTCTCCCTTTAACCGATTGATTTAGGGAAAGGATCTTATGTCATAGCCATGTACCATAGCATATGACTCGGTCAAGTTTCGTCGCGTGGAACGAATTCCCTTTGACGTTCAGGGATGAAATGAAACAATCATATAACTATCTCTAGCCCTTTCTACTTTAAATAAGTTGCCTTTGATACAATTCCTTTAACCAATGCTTCTAAGAGTTTTAAAAATTCGACACATCTCAATCAACTTGAAAAATTGATTTTACTGCCACAGAACATAAGACATTTTGGGGTATGTTTATGAGTTTATGAGTATTAAAAAGCTTAAAGTCTATAGTGTTCAAAAATATAGAATTTGAATTTAATTTTGTAAAGATTTTAAACGTTTTGACCGATTTAACACCAGATCGAAGAAGATATCTGATTTATCTTTGGACAGACCTAGCGGGCAAGTCTGTTCAGCTAAAGTACGAGAAGATCTACAGCTTTATGAGCAACAGGATCGGATATTTACTAAAATAGCAAGTATCATTTGTTATCATTGTACTGTACAATGTTTTGTGTCGCCCGTATATCATGGACTGCGTGTGCAAAATCCTTACGTCGAAGAAACTTTTCTTGGTTTGTGAACCTCACTATAGTTAATGCAACCTTGCCAAACATTCCGATGTCAAGTTTATATTTTACTCCAATAATACCTTGAGCAAACATTTGATCAACCTGTTTTCGTATACTGCTGCACGATCGCAACTTAGTTTATCTCTGACGTGATTATGGTGACATATACCATGATGCATCACAATTGCAACATGAGCATTGCAAGATTCTTGTCCGGGCAAGGGATTACCGTTGTCATGGAGTTGCAGATCATCGAATAAAAAGGTCATAATGAATTTGACTAACTAGCAGACTCAAATAAATTCGACTCACAATAAAATTGCAGATGAGATATAGTTTTGCTAAAAGTAAAATATTTCGTTGAGTTGAGTATGGACTATCCTGACAAAATGAAAACGTTAGTCAAGGTACCAGATAATTATGGTGACGCTAGCGACAGTATATCTGATATTAGCAGATTTTTCTGACAAACAATGACCACAAAATTAGTCTGAGGACAAATAAATACGGCACAATAGCTGTAAATTCAATCACTCAGCGGTTGAATCTTGCGGCGATTCTGAATAAGATTATTTTATCAAATATTCTTTGAAATAACAAGTACTAGTAATACTATTATACCCGTCGATTATGATATACTTGATTGTGATCTGAACAAACACTTTCTTTAAAAGACTATTAAAATGAAGCTGGAAACCTGCTAACAGAATCAAAATATAAAAATATAAAAGATCTGATTGTCAAACACAGATAACCTCCTCAGCATGGACACTGATAAACGTTGACAGTTTGATTTGCAACAGCATATTCAATAATTGCACAACATATGGCAAGTAATAATATTAAGTTTAAAGATCTAAAACTTGTATTAGGTTATATTTATTTTATAAAAGATCTTTGCAAAAAAAA